TTTGAGCAACCTATAAAACGGAAGCTTTCACAACATGCTTTACATCGCTTGATATGGAGTAGGTGTCGTTTATTTCGTACAATTTTTTCTGGAGGAAATGGCTTCATAAATTTCTGTCATTTATAAATCTTTTTTACATTTTTAATAAATAAATTGCAGTTTACGATTACTAAATATGTTTTACTTTGCTTGCAAAATTATTGACTGATATATGATTTAAATGTTGTCCGACAAACAACAATGATGCTGAATGATCTGGTTGCTTAAAACCAGCAGCTGTTCCAAAAATCATAAATAGTACACAAAATTGTTTTAAAAGAACTTAAAGTGAATCTGTGTGAGATGGTTAACATCTTAAAGATAAAGTAGTGTATTTACAATTCTACAGAAAAATTAAACCAAGCGTAAGTTGCTTTCGAAGTATTTTTTTCACACCTCGTTCTTTTTACATCGGACCAAAAACAAAAAGTCATCATTCTATGAAAAAAATGATAAAATTTAATGAATTTGGCTTCGACTTGCTTCCTTATACTCTGGACGCGCTATATCTGGCCTCTAGCAATTACTGGCTTTTAAGCAGTTGTCAAAAAGATGCATTAGTTATAAAATAAATATATAAATTTGAGTCAAATGAAAATGTGTTTTGTTCGGATCTAAATATCTCATCAAAGTCAAATGTATATATAATTCGTGCTATTAATTCTTTTAAAAATAAATAATTTTCTTATTAAACTGCAAATTGGAAATACCTTCTTTAATTTTATATATTTATGAAAATCCTACAATATCTTTCACTAAAAAATCATTAAAAAGATTTTTAATTATTAAATAATTTACCATTATTAAGCAAAAGTCTTGGGTGTATATAACTTTATTAAAAACAAAAACTAAAAAATTTTATAATATATTTTTCGATATTATTTATTTATGTTTTAATTTTATAATATTTATAATCGTTTAAAATTTTACTTTTTTAATTTATTTATTATTAATATATATAATAAAATGATCCGCTATTGTTACGCAGTGCAAATTTATTTGTGGCTTTGATACGTGGTAATTTATTAGCATGAGCGCTACGTCCATAAATAGAAGGAGATGAAGCGAAATCCTCAGCAATGATAGTCTTCCATTTATTTATCAAATCGTCACTAGCAGCAGAAGATATGACAGCAGCAGTCTTAGTTTTAGTCGGTGGAGCTATTGGCATATCGCGTGTAACTTGACGAACCGGTGCTATATCACTGTAATCGTAGTCATCATATGAGGGATATTGAACTGGTGTTGATGGACGATATTTATTTTTAATAACAAGTTGATTATAAGCTGAATTTCGATTAGGTAATGTGACACTGAAAGCCGCTGCTTCTTCAGGTGAAACACCGGCTATAGCAGTGGCTTTTGGTGAAGCAACAGCCAAACCATTTCGGCCTGAGAGTGCTACAGCATTCGGTTTCGAAGAAGCGACACCACCTTCACCGGCAATTGACAAACCTTTAGTATGAATAAAAAGTAGATATTTTTAAATTTTCTTAAAAATTAAATACAGAATTTAATACAAAATTAATTAACTGCACATACACATAACTGCACATACATCTGTAATATTTAAATATTTAGCAACAAAATGTAAGACTTTAAGAAGTCTTCTATATACCATATATTTACTAGCTAATTCATTTCATATATTACTACTTACCAACTGGCTTGGCTTCAGCAACTGATGCATCCTTTTTGGGTGCTGTAACAGCAACACTGTCATTGACATCCTCGTATGGATCGTCAGTGTTAGGTGGTAACAAATCTGATTCATTAAAATGTTGTTCAGTTACCTCATCGACTTTTTGCTCACCAGCGTCTTTATCAACGTTACTATCACTGGCAAATGTTGGTTCAGCAGTAGTTGATTTTGTTGGAGCACTTGTAGAAGTAGTTGTTGGTGCACTTGTTGGTCGCATTGTAGCAGATGGTAATGGAAGACCCATTAGTGGTTGTAATAACATACTAAAATCTTTTATTTTTCCACTCTGTTGTAACTTAGCTAATGTCTGCGCAGCCTGTCCTAATTCTACCAAGCTATCAGCATAAACTCGATTGTCTTCAGCTGTAAAGGAACCATAACGTTTCGCCTTCTCCTGCAATGCTATTAGTCGTGCCGCCGCTAACTGTATTCTAAAAAATTCCTTTTCAAAAGTTATCAAATCATTGTTACCAACTACCGCTGCCGCTGTAGTTACTGCACCAGCTGAAACCGCAGCTGAAACCGCAGCTGAACCATCCCGATTTGTAGTCACTTTCGTTTTCTGCGATAAAACTTCGGTATCGACTATGCCATCTCCATGACTACGTACATTCAAAAAGTGACCACTGAGGCCACCATAATATGGATAAATATTCTCTTCAAATATTAAGGGATCATTGGACCTGTGTCTATGATGAAGTTGAAAGTACGTAGCTCAGATATACATCAGTTTATAAAATTTTAAAGTGTTATGAATGGAAAGCAAGTATTAAACTACATACATATTTACAAAGGATTGTATTAAGCATATTGTAGAGAGAAATAATGATTGCTAATACTGAAATAGGCATATCTACAAAGTTTAAAATGAAACCGTTAAGTATTAAGTACATATAGAAGACATTTGAAACTGTGAAATAATTTATGTAAATTTTAAAGATTTATTTGGAATTAAATTCGTAGTT